TGTACTGTAGATCAGCGTCATTTCTGGAAAAAACATTCACCGCTTTATTACGAGTTTAAAAGAGCGCGAGCGTCATTAACGTGCCCAGACGCGACGCTTTGAATTTGCGCGTACAATGAATAACATCGCGTCGGGAGCTGACTAAAAACGCTACAAAAGTAAAAGACAAGACGTTTGTATTCAAAGTTAAAAAGCCAACACACTACAACATTTTTAAATGTTTCAAATAAAGGATCTCGGGTCTATCTTCTAAATTCTGCTGATGATTATACCCTGTCTGACATCAGCCTACTTACGCCAATAATATCAGTTTAGAATTTTTTTTCTAATCAGTAGCGATCGTGTCTTTCTCTTCCACTTCATTTGTGTATAGCATATTTAAGCTAGCAATGCAATGCATAATATCATATTAGGCCTACTTATATTAATAATATGACAATATCTGCATTCTGCAGTCGAATATTTATTAAAGGTTCTCTAAGCGATCCTGGGTGACGTCACTTCTTGTTGACGTTCGAACTATTGTCAAACAAAACATGGCTAGCTAGACCCTCCCTCCTCCTCATCCGCGCACTAACCCCCCAAACCACACCCCCAAGTCCTTCTTGTCGGTTATTGGCTGGAACAGTTTGTTATGTTTCGTGGAGCGGGTTGCCGCAGTTTGTTTTTGTTGCCGTTTGTGGATCCTGGGCTGTCTGCAGAGACCGCGTTTTTTTACAGTGTGTTCAGGGGACAGGCAGCGAGCGGATAGTGAGGAGATGTTTGCTGTATGTGACAAAAGATGTTTTGGCCTAAAAAACGCTCGACATCGCTTAGAGCACCTTTAAATGGGAGGGGAAAATCCTGCCCATACCAGCTATGAAAAAAATGATAAAAGCATATATCACTGAAGTGGTATTCTGGAACTGTGAATAAATTGAATAAAACAGCAAAATAACAATAACAATAACATCTTCATTAAACAAAAAAGAGATTACCTTAGATGAAGTTTGATTAATATGTAGCCTACTGGTAAAAAGTCTGGACCAATTACTATTTTTAATGTTTTTGAAAGAAGTTTTTTTATTATGCTCTACAAGCCTGCATTTATTTGATCAAAAATACAAAAAAGAAAAAGAAAAACAGGAATATTCAGCAAGGATGTGTTAAATATATAAAAAGGGATAGTGAAGACTTTTTTAAACAACTTTTTAATAATAATTAAAAAAAAAAATCCTGAAAAAAAGTATCACAGGTTACAAAATAAATATTAAGCACCATTTCTAACATTTGATAATAAATCAGAATATTATAACGTTTTCTGAAGGATCACATGACACTAAATTCAGCTTTGCATCACATAAATATATTTTAACGTAGTAAAATAGGAAAACTATTATTTTTAATTTTAATAATATTTCACTATTATTTATCTGTATTTTTGATCAAATAAATCCAGGCTTGATTAGCATAAGCAACATGTTCAAAAACATTAAAAATATTAATGTGTCCAAACTTATGTACTGTGTAAGTAAAAACATTTAAAATTAAATGTTGTATAAATTAAAAGGTTAGGAATCATATTTGTTTCAAGAGTTTTTTATTGGGGGTGGGGGGCCTCCAACATGAATATTGCCTAGGGCCTCCAAATGTCTAGAACCGGCCCTGACCATCTGTATATGTATGAATTCGTTATAATCTTTATTTATGTGGTACTTGAATGCACTTACCAAATCTATTTGATCTTTTTCTTTCCTTTTTAACTCTAACAAATACCAGTCAATATCTGGCCAAACAACCCATGGAGCCACCATCGGATAACTGCACGGCTCATCTTCATATCAAATACTCCAAATTCTTTTGCTACCTTATTGCCTACTCTACTAAAATTATCTCCGTTACATCTTGTGTTCTCCCATGTCTCCTGCAACACTACTTTTGTGGGGTGGAAATCATTATGTCCCTGCAAATTAGCCCAAATAGTTTGTCATCAGCTGCCTCCTCCTTAATGCTAACGGCATTTCTCCCATTTCTACTTGTACAGTGTAGGTACTGGTGAAGTTGTAAAAGCACCACTACACACTCTTAATGCCTGTGCCTGAATCATATAGTTTCTTTAATAGAGATTTGGCTGCTGACCCATAAACTACACTGCCGTAATCCAACACAGATCTTATCAATGCCACATCAATCTATCTATCTATCTATCTATCTATCTATCTATCTATCTATCTATCTATCTATCTATCTATCTATCTATCTATCTATCTATCTATCTATCTATCTATCTATCTATCTATCTATCTATCTATCTATCTATCTATCTATCTATCAATCTATCTGTCTATCTATCTTCTATCTATAAATTACAGGAACGTCTGTCTGTCTGTGTGTCTGTGTGTCTGTCTGTCCGTCTGTCTGTTAATCAAATATCTATCTATAAATTACAGGAACGTCTGTGTGTCTGTGTGTCTGTCTGTCCGTCTGTCTGTTAATCAAATATCTATCTATAAATTACAGGAACGTCTGTCTGTCTGTGTGTCTGTCTGTCCGTCTGTCTGTTAATCAAATATCTATCTATAAATTACAGGAACGTCTGTCTGTCTGTGTGTCTGTCTGTCCGTCTGTCTGTTAATCAAATATCTCTCGAACCGTTAGTCCGATGGATTTCAAACTTGACAGGTGTCTTGGTCTGTCTGTGTGTCTGTGTGTCTGTCTGTCCGTCTGTCTGTTAATCAAATATCTCTCAAACCGTTAGTCCGATGGATTTAAAACTTGACAGGTGTCTTGCTACGGGCCTGAGTAAGTGCAGTGCAGAGTTTGACGTTGTTTGGATAAGAAATGCAAAATATATCGTTAAATATATCGATAATAGAAGCACACATTGAAGTTGGGGTTTAAAAATAAACATTCTGACATTAGAGAGGGTTGTGGTTTAAAAATGGTGGCTTAAAAATAAACATTCTATCAGCTAAACATTAAGTCAGCTACTATACACTGTTTACTTCTGAATATTGTAGTTATTCAGAAGTAGTTAGTTGTCAGTAGTTAATATAGTTCAATTTTCCATATATAATGTATGTCATTATGTCAGTATCAGCATTTGCTTTCAACCATGCACAAATAAAAATGTCACTGAACTTTTGCTGTGTCATTGTAACAATAAGCACTCAAACACACCAAACCAACAACTAAAAACACGCACAAAAACGGATTTTTAACTGTTATTCGAACCATTAGTCCGATGGATTTCAACTTGACAGGTGTCTTGCTACGGGCACGAGTAAATGCAGTACCAAGTTTGACGTTGTCAGATACACATTTTTGGGAAAATAACTCCCAAAAATGTGAATGTTCCAACCCTTTCTAATTCTTTCCCATACATATTTAACTTCATCCCTTCCCTAATTTGTTTCCTGGTAAAAAAAAAGAGTGTTTTTTCTATTGAGAACTTAAACCCCCGATCATATCCCCACTCCACCACCTCATCAATTGCTCCTTACTTTCCTGATTGCATACTCCATATTCCTTCCCCTTTTCCACAAAGCCCCATCATCCGCAAACAGTGACCTCCCTATATCCATTGGCACCTTTGTGAAGACATCATCGATCATGATGATAAAAAGGAGCGGGCTTATCACACTGCCTTGAGGCGTTCCATTGCCCACAGCGTATACTGACTTGATATGTCTGACCCTATTCGTACTTAAATTTTTCTTCCAAACAAAAAAATATTTATTCAGTTGAAGACTTTTCCACCTACACCCATCAAGTGCAACTTTATTAACAATCCTTCCTTCCACATCATGCCACATCCTTTTTCTATATCAAAAAACACTGTAATGACTGATTCTTTATTTGCCTGAGCCTTTCTTATTTAATTTTCTAGTCTTATCACCGAATCCATGGTACTCCTTCCTTTCCTAAAACCACTTTGATAGTTTGCTAGCTTTCCACTTTTTTCTAGTATATACGATAGGTTGAGACGGATAAGAGCGGCGCAGCCTTATGACGTCATTACACCAAAACCAAAATAAAAGTTCATAAGTTGCTTCTTAAACGGAAGGCTGCATTTTTTTAACCCTGCGCAAAAAAAATAAAAAAAAAATAAATAATCAAGTATAACCCTGGATGAATTCCTTGTTGGTCCAGGCTGGTATGTTAGAGCTGGTAAAGTGCTGGTGGACCAGCATGCTGTTCTCAAGCAAATCTGAGCCGGTGTTGCTACCATCACTCATTCCTCCCATGTTGGTTTCAGCATGCTAAACATACCTAATGCTGGTGACCAGCGATGCTGGATTTTTTTCTGCAGGGAATTAAATTCTTTAAGCAAAAAATATAAAGTGCTTATAAAGACGAGATATAAAAATGAAACGGACATTTAAAAAGCCATTTACAGAGAATGATAGAACTGTTCAGTGTTTAAATACACAAAACATTCATGATATTGGTTATTCTTATTCCACTTTGTTTCATTCAAACAGGTGGTGCATTTTCTGTTCTTGGGTGTCATTTTAACTACAAAATGTGTCCAGAAACAGGCAGGGAGAACTCGAGAAGAAACACTGACCTGGCATAGATCTTTACATTATTTTATTTGTGGAGGCAATACAATCATTACATTGACAGACTTTACAGAATAGGAACAACAATTACGTAAACAGAATGGAAAGGAATAAAATAGAATAGAATCAAATATGTGGCAGAATAAGCAAAACACCAGAAGTATGACAAAAAATGATCTGAGACATGCATGTTGTGCAAAGGTAAAATATTTTAAATTTAAAGAGATAGTTGCTATACTTGCATGACTGAAATAGCTGCTTGAGAGGCGTTTCAAAGATGGCCGCAGAGGGAAATTACTTGTCTTAGTCCTCTCTCACACCCAACAACAGATGCAGGAAAAGACCAGCATCATTGCAGATACCTCAGCAAGCCTGGGCCTCAACATCAATAGAGAGAAGAGAAAGGCAAAATAACTGACAGGCAAGGGGGACATATGCAGATGTGAGAAAGCGAGATCAGCTTTCCTCCAACTGAAGAACGTCTGGCGATCCTCTGAGATCAGCATCAACACCAAGACCAGGGTCTTCAACATCATTGTAAACCCTGTCTTGCTGTATGGAGCTGAGACCTGGAGAACCACCACCACTACCATGAAGAAAATCCAGGTTCTCATCAACACCCGTCTCAGAAGAGGCTGGCCAGACAAGAAAGTTCTTCAGCAAAGAAGAACTGTGACATTTAATGAAACAGCAACCAGTGGAAGGTGACATCCTCCAAAGATGCTGGAGGTGGATTGGACATACCCTCCGCAGGCCTGCAGACAGCATCACAATCCTTAGTGGGGTTTTCGACCACTTCTCTATATCTGAAGCAGCCAGGGACATAGGATCATTGCTGTCATCTTCCTCGGACCCTCCAAATGAGACCAAGCCACTTGCACCGGAAGAGGGACACTGATCTTTGCTGGTGAACAGCACAGGGGAATCCTCACGCTGTGGGGAAAGTGAGGCATGCAAGATCTGGGCTGACGTGAGCTCACCGAGTCCTGTTTGCTCACTTAGCGGCTGCTTATGGCAACTGGACTCGCTCATTTGGGCACACAAGACGCCATTGTTCTGCAGTTGCACAGACTTGAGTCAATCAGGCTTCAGCATTTTCTGAGGAAAATGAAAAAAGAAAGTTATTTAAACTTTTGGAAGTAAAACTAAGACAAAAAATATATCTATACATTGTATATAATGAATTGAGTACATTTTTACAGTGTACGCTCAACGTTACCCCTTCTGATGGCAGTGCATGGAAACTTTTTCTGGCCTTCGTTGTTTCAACAGTGTTTAATATCAGGCTCAAATTGACATTTTAGATTAAATAAAAAAAGTACAGGAAACCTGTAAATCAATTACAGAAGCATGAGAATTCTCTCAATTAATTCAAAAAAGGTGTTGTGTACTTCTACAATGTTCTTTGATCTATATCATCCATTGTTAGGCTACCAAGCAGCCCCTCAAAGTTAATTTGGCGCATTCTCAGCAGGGAAGGCAGTGGAGTGTTCTTTCTCTTAAATACGACATGTTATTGCCTGTTTTATCTGCTCTTTCATTTGTTAATTTTTACTTTCACCTTTGCAGACCGCAGCTGTCATTGGATTGGTTCAGATGCCTGCCACAATCCTTGGTGCTATTGACCCAAAATGGACATTGCAAAACAATGGATATAGTATATTTTACACAGTTTTCTCTCATTTGCAAAATTGGATAAAACACAAACAAAACAATGTATGCCTTGGTTTTAAAACACAGCACAGAGACTTTTGATAAAAGTAAATAAAATTGACTTTGCTGGTAAGTTTAATAATTGGGTCATTTATATATATATATATATATATATATATATATATATATATATATATATTTAAGTTTAATGCAGAGTAAAATTAGAAGCCTGTTTCAATGTCTGTTTAAATGTTTCATTTATGTCCAAATGTGACACGTGTTAGGTCTAGACTCTAGAGGTACACTTTATAACTACAGACAGGCATTGAAATTCACTTGCAGCATTCATTGCACTGTTTAGCAGCGATTTTAGACAGTTTGAGTGTTTTTGCTCACAACTTGACCAGGGCACAGCAGTGTGTGCACCACAAGAATCCGCAAGAAGAGAGAAACAAAAGGAAAGAGAATTAGGTATCAAACAAAAAGAAGCAGATGAAAAAATTAAAAAAGAAAGGTGATTGCCGGTAATACCAAAATTTAGGTTTGGACTTACCTGTGCGATTTTGGTGGTCCTTAAAATAAAATCTTCAGTCTTTCTTGATGTCATAAATATCACTGAATATATCACCAGCATCATTTGAATTATTTTGACTGCATGATGCGGTGGACAGCTTTCCATGATATTGAGTCATAAATACATTAACATCAGCACAACAGTGAACTCGTGAAACTGTGTCTGTCCAGCAATATACAGTCAAACCAAAATTTATCCAGACACCTTCAACATTTCTCACACTATAGAAAATGGTAATAAAATATGACAAGAACTCAGTGTTATCAAATAAGTTGATATTTTACTGGTTAGACTGTAAATTAATTAGGTTGAAGCTGTCAGCTGTTAAATTTAAGTACACAATTAGATAATGCTAATAGGTCAACCAATTACCAATTAAATGCTTAATTTTACATACATATATACATAGATGAACTAGCCTATAATGTCCTGCACCCACTAGTAAAAAAATATATATCTGGTGTCTGAATATTTTTTGGATTGACTGTATGTGGCAAAAACCACTGGAATATTAACAACTGATTTAAAACATGCTGGGCCTCTTGAAATTTGTTCAAGCATGAAATGTTTTCCTATTACTATTTCTGCAATGCCTTAAGCATATAATACTAGTATGCTATTCTGAATTCAGCCATTCAAAAGATAATTCTGAACTTTGGCATGTCACACATTAGATTACATAACGCTTCTTCAGGCAGCATTTTTTTAATGCATGAGTGGGAATTTCGGTTTTAAGCTTTTACACAGTCAAACTGAAAATCTTATGCCATAATATGTCAATATGATAAAATGATCTTCCCATGGTTTCTGGCACAAATTTCCATGCCCTTTGTGTCAGTCTATTGATGGCAAAGGTTTCTCTTAATATGTAATATTATGGGCACTTTTGACATTTGAATAAGGATGCACATTTTTCTTCTTGTGACAATATCAGATGCCTTGAAGTTGCGAGTGAGAACAGGTTGGATAAAACACAAATCTCCTTTTGACCAGCAATAAAAGAAAACTAATAAAGTGATCTTATTCTTTAAAAACATTTCATTACTGTTAAACATTCGTTACCTGTGTTACATTCCTTGTACATTGTGGTTTCATTGTTTAATGGTCATTTTCATAACAACCCAAATTACATCCACCAAGCAAATGCTATTTTTTTTAATGTTTTATTATCAAAAAATAGTATGTACAAGAGTAACTTCCATAAGAAGAACATACATGTTTCACAATACAATAGAAATTACAAAAAAAGAAAGAAAGAAAACAGAGAGCATATCTATATATTGTTGAATAAGCATAAATTAATACTTAATTGAGACTCCAAGCAGCAAGCACATTAAAATAAATTCTTTGCCACCTAAATCTGAGAAAATATACAGAGGATATTCCAAACAGACCATGGGTTTTGAAAATAGTCTAAGCCAATTTATTTTAAAAGCATTGTTCAGAGAGCTAAAGTCAATAAAATTTAGACCACCTTTATCATATGAATTTAATATTACTGATTTCTTAGTAGTGAACTTTGTTTTTTCATTCAAATTCACATATTCTGTCAATTAATTTACATGTCTGTTTGTCAACATAAAGTGACTGAGCAGTATATAAGCGAGAAACGCCTTCTGTTTTAGTGAGAAAAACTTTTCCCTTGAGTAACAGATCTCTCAGCAACAAATGATTCAATAAACTCTAAAAAATAATTCAGTGTCTTAGTAATTATCACAGTAATAATTAACTTTATTAACTTAAAAAATCAAGTAAATAATATTCAGAGATTGTATTGAGTTAAACATACCAAAATAATTGACTAAAATGTAGAGTTATATTTAAGTTTTTTTTACTAAAAATGTTTAGTATTTAACTAACCAATTATTTACTTATACACTTTATATATTTGTGAAATTTCTATCAAAATATTTGAGAATAGAGAATTAAACTGATCTGTTTCAAGAACCACAAAAAATACTTCATTCAAATCAATATTATTAATATATTTCACACATTCTTATGAAATTGAGTAAGTTTACTTAATTAAAACAATGCACCCTTCCCCCACCCCCATGATGGCAACTCAACGGTTGAGTGAGCGTGGGCTGTTTGAATTCTCTCCAGTCTCCAGAACGGTTTTCTCTTCGGCGCAGAATTAGTGCATTTCCTCTGTGAAATTAAGGTGTGTGTATGTTTTATTGTATCTATAAAATCATTACTGTGCTTTAAATCATTTTATTTAATGCAAAACAACATACTGGGACGCAATGTGAGTCACCTAAACGAGTGTCACGTCTGTGTTTTCGCTGATTGAAATGCCTGATGCCTTGCATAAAACACACAACTTTATTCCTAAAGATAATGCATATAATTAATTTGGATGATAAAATGTCCTCAGAACTGTGCACCGTTTGTTTATTGGCAGGTTATGGTCTGGAGTCAGTCGCGTCCCAGCATCTTTCGCATATGAGTGAAACGCAGGACGGCAGTCTGAAGTTCGAAGTTCCTTTTCGAAAGGGAACTCATACTGCGTCAGAACGCTAGGGGAACGCCTCAACGTGACTGATGACTGAAACATTGTATAATCACGACAATCCTATTGGCCGGCGTCAGCCATGATGTCATCCTCTAGCACGACCAGGAAGTATAAAAGGGGCACCTAGAGAACATGTCATCCTCTTTTTGTCCTGTTTGGGCCAATCCCAATTCTATTGGGGATTGTTTGGGACTGTTTGGGACTGTTTGGGCCAATCCCAATTCTACCCCTTACCCCTTCACTTACCCCTTCCCCTCTGTTTTGCGCGTGCATGTGAAGGGGTAGGGCTGTCTCAATTCTCTTTTGGTTGGAGGGGTAGGGGTAAGGGGAAGGGCCAGATAGCCCTTCAAACGAAGATTTTTCGGGACCACACTTCAAACGAAGGGGTATGAGAAGTGTCACTGCATACACCGGCTACAGACGCAAAATGGCTGCCCACGCAAAAATATTTACATTTTTAACGACAAATAATGATTTCCTTTATGTTACATTCAATATTGTGTTCATATTTACGGTCAGTTTCTTCAGAGAAACGTTTGTAAAAAAAAAAAACATCGCTAAAGTTTGCTAACGATAGTCCCGCAACATATTTTCATGTCAAATGGTGAAAGTAATTGCGGAAGCGAATTGGCTTATATTTTACAGTACATCGGCTATGAACGCATTGTTTTTTTGTGGTTATATGTGAACACGATATAAACGAACAGCGCTTACAGTTTCGTGCTTTTTGCAATATGATCAGATCAACCAGTCTTGTATGGTCTTTATCAAACAGGGACACCTGAGGAAACCCGGAGGATAATTCGTTTTCACATTGACAACGAGCAACATTTCCTTAAGTCCAAATACAAGGCAAAAGAACTTTGGGAGTGAGTCTGTTAAACGTTACTGTGCTTCACAAGACAAATGCAAAAAAAATAGCTGTAACCCATGCAACTGAGATGACTGCAGCTGTCGACGGCATCTTGGAAGTTTGTGATAAACATCGGCGCATCTCCTGTGACGTAGGCGCTAGCGACGACGTATAATGACGTGTAACCAGTAGTGGTGTCCCATTTCTTAGGGGAATATTTTCACCCCTTCGCCTTGCCACTCTGTTTCAAGGGTCAAGGGGAAGGGGAAGGGGAAGGGTTAGGGGTAGACGAAAGGGAAAGGGGTAGAATTGGGATTGGGCCTTTCACTGACACTGAGTTACGAATTATGGCTGGAAACAAGCGCTTTAGGAAGTGTGCCGACTCGTGTGAGAGGTTTCTCACACCTTGGGACACTCACAACCTTTGTGTGCTTTGTCTGAGTGAAGAGCACACGCGCTCGGTCCCTGAGGAGGTGGAGTGCGCAAACTGTGGGCGTTTCTGTCTCTCTTCTTGAGGGAAGAGGGACAGTCATCTTTGCCCCACGGTTCGGGTCCTGCTCGCGCCGAAACCGAGAGGAGACTCAGATCGTGGGGGTCTCAGAGGGAGCTCGCCGACAAGTTTGAGAGAGGGGGGAATCTCTCACTCTCGTCGGTGGCTGATGAGAACAAGCTGCTGTACAATATCTGTATAACAAGCTGCTGGGCGGGAATGCGCTCTCTGATGCATCCTCTGGTCCAACAGCCAGTGCTCTATTGGCTTCGAGCCCGGATGAGCAGGAGGGGGCTGAAGCAGGTGAAGATGCCGAGATGGCTGAACCTGCCCAGCCCCCCTGCCCCGCGTATGCAGAGCTGGTGGAGGCTTGAGTTGCCATGGCGGCGCCTCAAAGGGGAAGCCACTCGTGGAAGGCTTGACGAGCGCTTTCTCTCTGGCTACAGTTATTCTAGTCATTTGAATGTGGAAGGTATATGCGAGAGCACGGGTATGTGTCGATGCCTCCCGTTGAGGAGACGTTTGCAAGCTATCTCTCGCAAGGGGAGACATCGACACTAAGAGGTCCGACCCTGCCATCTAGACCACTCCAGACCACATCTCGTCTGAAGGGCAGGGCATACGTGGCGGCAGGTCAGGCTGGTGCTGCGCTGCACACAAAGTCGGTGAAGGAGCTATCGTCTCTGGCTAGAGACTGTGGTTGAGTATAAAATACAAATAAGAAAACATGTTGTTGGCTTCAGCGATAAGCATGATAGCCTCCCTGGTATGGGGGTTGACACTGGTCAAAGTAGCCTGCAAAGTAGCAGGCTAGGGCCCATAGGCTCTGGGCCGTACTCCCTGGGCCGTACTCCCTTAAAGGAACCCCCCTCTAAAATTGGGCTGTAGTATCCATGCCCTTGATAGCATTTCTAGACATTTTCCAAAATTAAACTTAAAATGAACATATTGCTGACTTCATTTAAAACATGGTAGACTCACATGGAGTAGGGGAGTATTTATTCTGTGACGTCTCAGAGCCTTGTCCTGCATGAATAAGATGAAATAAACCAGAATAAAAATTCACAATCACAAAACTGTATACGGTAAACATTGAAAGAGCCTCTTCTAAAGGAACATGATGTTTTTTATAATGCAGCTCATTTTCTAATTGAGCATTAAATGTAATGAACTGGACTGTAGAACATTTACCAGCACGTGTCTTCTTCCTCCATTTGATGAGTGCAGTGATGATAACAGCCACACACATTAATACCAACACACTCATAACTACAGACAGACGGAAGGATCCTCCTGGGTCATATTTATCTGTATCTGAAATTGTGGTGAATTAAAAAACAAAACAGGAAAGTAAATACAAAAGCTACAGATATATGTATACTGAAATAGTTTTTATTATTATTATTAAATCGATGTAGTTGTTGATATCAAAAAGGGCATTTTGTTTGTTTGCTTGCTGGTGTGGGCATTTTTATTTACCAAATATAATGTCCAGTTTGTTGTCCAGATTGAGGTGCTTCATTGTACAGTTGTAATTATGTCCTTCACGTAGTTCTTCATCGCTGATCACTAAACTCTTCCTCATCTGGTAAGTCCTGTCTCCATTGGGCAGAATCTCTCCTCCTGTGATCTGATCATCATCCACAGGATGACCATCTCTGAACAGGGTCAGGTTAATGTGACGGGGGTAAAAACCAGTGGCCAGACAGCTGATCTGAAGCCCTTGAGAGTCTGGGAGTTTCTTCCTCATGAGTCTCACTCTGGGTTTCACTACAGAGAATAATGATAAGTGTTACTGTTGTTAAACTGTTGCATCAGTTATTTATTTATGGTTCTCATGTTTCATTATGCAATCAGAGGCAGGAATTTTCTGTCTGTAATTCTGTCTGGGTCATATTTGTTGATTATCTTTTTTTTTTTTTTTTTTATTATACTGAAGTTAATCAGGTTGATTCTCTCACCTTTTCTCATCACATTATTCTTTTCCAAATGCAGGTACCTCTTCAAAGTTTTAATGCAAATAGGATGATAAACATTTTCATATATAAACTGTATATGAAGCTTTTTTACTTGGTCCCATGATATTATCCATGGCTTTTTCATACGGATATCGTTTTTTTCCAGGTCATAGGTGAACTCCTCCATACATTGTCCATCAAAAGCATCCCAGGAATGAATTGGACCTGGTTTATCATTATTCAACAGTTCACATCCAGCAAGTCTCTGATACACATGTACACCTTCAAATAAAAGAAAAATGTATTTGTATTAGTCCTCACTCTGACACTGACATAATATGTATAAATGTAGTGAACTGAAAATGAATATTCTGGAATTTATGATTACAATTTTAAAGTCTTACACCATTTTTTTTAAATAAAACAAATGAAACAAAACACATAGAAGCTACATCTGTTATTAAATGATTTGATAATGCTTATAATGTAGTTCTCACCATCTGTGTGATTGAGGTGTTCATTAGCATAAAAATCCCGATTTTTAATGGAATAATACATGTCTTGAAATACAACACCAACATCACTTTGCTCCTCATCATAGTACTTTGAATCACTTTTAGTGCGATAGACAGGTTTATATGTGGTTGAGTCATAATATAATATTTGCAGATCATCCAACATCAGCACAACACTGAACTCAGGAAATGGTGTCTGTCCAACTATATATGTTGCCAAAGCCATCAGTGAGTGAGAACCTGTGGATACACAAGGACGAGAAATATTAGTACAGATTAGTCAAATTAGACAATAATTCAATTCAATTCAAAACTTTAGACCATAACATATGACTATTCCATTCCAGACTAATCTTCCTCTGGCATTATAACTGAAGAAGAAATTTTATCTTTAAAGGGATACTCCACTTTTTTTGGAAATAGGCTCATTTTACAACTCCCCCAGAGTTAAACTGTTGAGTTTTACCGTTTTTGAATCCATTCAGCCGATCACCGGTTCTGGCGGTACCACTTTTAGCATACATTATTGGAGTGGACAAGACCATTAGCATTTCTAAAAAAAAATGACCAAAGATTTTCGATATTTTTCCTATTTAAAACTTGACTCTTCTGTAGTTACATCGTGCACTAAGACCGACGGAAAATGTAAAGTTGCGATTTTCTAGGCTGGTATGGCTAGGAACTATACTCTCATTCCTGCGTAATAATCAAGAAACTTCACTGCCGTACCATGAGTGCAGCAGGCGTAATGATATGACGCAGCGCCTGAAAATAGTTCCGTTGTGTTGACGGAAGGTAGCCTATTTTCAGGCGCTGCGTCATATCATTACGCCTGCTGCTCTCATGGTACGGCAGTAAAGTTTCTTGATTATTACGCAGGAATGAGAGTATAGTTCCAAGCCATATCAGCCTAGAAAATTGCAACTTTACATTTTCCGTCGGTCTTAGTCCACGATGTAACTACAGAAGAGTCAAGTTTTAAATAGGAAAAATATCGAAACTCTTTGGTCATTTTTTTTTTTAGAAATGCTAATGGTCTTGTCCACTCCAATGATGTATGCTAAGCTATGCTAAAAGTGGTACCGCCAGAACCGGAGATCGGCTGAATGGATTCAAAAACGGTAAAACTGAACAGTTTAACTCTGGGGGAGTTGTAAAATGAACCTATTTCCAAAAAAAGTGGAGTATCCCTTTAAGATGAGTGTGACCAATCATATGACAATAGAAGAGTGTTGGTAAGTGAAAGGAGGTCAGAATAAAATATGATGAACAAGTCTAATAATGTTCTAGCCTGGGAAAACCCAGACAACTTCCGGCAAATTTAGATTTGCTCTGCAAGTTAGTCTGGCAAAGAGCTCATTCAAGCCCATTTCTAGTCCGTCGAAATCGCGGCACCAATCAGAAACGTTGGGGCGGGCTTTACACGATGACGACAGCACACTGACGGTGAAGCAGATTTTGTACATTTACAAAGATAGATGCCGCCGTGGAACTAGGGGTGTGATGGTTATAGTTGAACACCGTCATTAGAACTCTATAACCGCCAAAACCATGTTATGCTTAAAAAGGTTTAAAGAAAGTTATCTGGAGTTAAATATAAGTAAGACGAAATAATTGTGTTGTGGGAGGTTTAGTTCATCACTATCTGAACCACTTAAGTTAGGGGGCCAGTTAGTGGAACAAGTTGAGACCTTCACATATTTGGGCACTGAGATTGATAGGCATCTATCCTTTTTTCAACATGTGAATATCGTATACAAGAAATCTCAACAGCGCTTATTTCTCTTGAGAAGGTTGAAGAGTTTTAATGTTAGACAAAATATCATGATAACAGTGTATCACGCTCTTGTTGAATCAGTATTGATCTTCAATATTGTATCCTGGTTTAATTTTGTTTCTGCTAAAAATAAGAAAAAATTATCCAGGGTAATCAAACAGGCATCTAAAATGATTGGGGACCCGCAGATTCAACTAGTAGACCTTTATAATTGTGCAGTAAAAAGGAAAGCAGACACCATCGTTACTGACCCCTCCCATCCTCTGTGCAGCTCGTTTCAGTTACTGCCATCGGGTTGCCGCTTTAGAGCTCCTTTGGCCAAAAAGAAAGTGTACAGGAACTCTTTTATTCCTACTGCCAGGGGCGTAGAATTTAGTAGGGACACTAGGGACGTGTCCCTACCAATATCCAGTGACACTGATATATCCCTAGCAATAATTTCGATCAAAACTTAAAATACATGTATATATTGATGTCCCCGTCCCCACCAATTTCAAAATCAAACCTACGCCACTGCTTACTGCTATTTCTATTTTAAATAAGACCAAAAAGTGTCATTAGTATATTGGGCTTGAGCCTTTATTGTTTTACATAGTAAGGCAGGCCTACTTTTTTTCCTTGTAACAATTTTAAATTGTGATGTGTGTGTGATTGTATTGTGTATATGTGAGCCTTTTTAACCAAAGACAAATTTCTATCACTGGTTGATAGATGATAAAGTTTTTTTAATTTGAATGGAATGTTATTAAAATATTTTTTCACAATTTTTTTATCATAGAGAATGTTTAAACACTAATATCAACTTACGAGGGAAACGAAGGCGGAGTTAGTGGTGCGATCGGAGGCTGCTACTGCTGGAGATGATTCGGGAGAGGTCTGTGTCACTTAACCGATCAGAGCGCGCGCTGACACGGAGTAAAGCCTTGTTTAATGAGGGTTTACCCCTCATTTACACTGCACACATCTGCGGCGCATTACGGCTGCGACACGGTTTTATTCCGTCCTTCACACAGTGCCAACTCACACCAGGAGCATTTCAGACGCGAAGCGACTGGATGCGCGAGACCACGTGATTTGCCTGTCCGGCGTGGTTTTTCTTGATTTTTGTGTGTCTACCTACAGTCTATGGATTTTACCAAGGATATATTGGTGTGCAATACAATTGGGATTCTGCACAGGGTGTTTATTATGAAATTGACAGTGTTTTTTGACTTTTATTTTGTATTTACGGTGCGGCTTGGACGCGGCGTCCGTCAAAAATAGACTAGGCGCCTATATTTAGCGAAGCGGCGTGGAGAGCTAGCCTGGCTCCGCCCTCCTACGCACTTCCGCTCAATTTTATTTTCCTTCAGTACTACGTCTGGGATTGTGCTGTAGACTTTGGTTTCCAGAAATAATTTTTTTACCGGTCCAATCAGCGAACAGAGGGAGTGGCTGAGAACGATGACGTAGATGTAGCGCGTCAGTTTGAGTTGGAGTTCAGTAATGGCAGCGGAGAAAGACGTGAGAAAATCTATTCGGTCCGTTGTTGCAAAACTGCCGAATATCCAGAAGTTAAAGCCGGAGCAAGATCAATGTTTGCTAAGTGTTGTTGGTGGCCATGATGTTGTGGCCCTCCTCCCCACGGGGTTCGGGAAAAGTTTAATTTTCCAGCTCACTCCGCCAGTGGTGAATGAGTTAGCTAAGGCGAACGATAGGATGCAAAGCCGATAGTTGTTGTCGTCTCTTCTTGTTGCACTAATGGAGGACCAAGTGAGGGAGGCAGAAAGGTTAGGAGTTGGTGCTGGGCAGCTCGGCGTGCACGATGATCACTGTACAGCATTTGCGGCAGATCCGAAACGACCGCAGCGGCGTATTGTTAATGATTACACCCAGCTTCGACAGTTGACTGAATACATCACTGTCCTTAGTGTCAAATATACATTTAGAATTGTTCCTTGAACTCTTAAATTCGATGAACAAAACATGCAGCTCTCGTTGACAGACATCTTATTCTAAACATAATCCTCTGATCATTCGGACTTGTTTTTTTTTATTGCTTAAAACAATACACAAGTAATAACAGAAAACATAATACAAAAACAAACAAAAAATAATAATAAAAACAAAACAAAAATAAAACAGTAGGGGGATAATATAAAATAAACATGAACAAGTTAAGAGAATTACATGACACTGAAAAAAGGAAAATAATTACAAACAGATAATGTTTTTAAGGCTTTTTTTGTTCTCAGACAACTTAATTGAAAAGAGGTATTTTTTAAATTCTTTCACAAATATAAGAAAGAGAGGTTTAGCATTTAGATATTTAGATTTATGAATATGGAATTCGGACTTGTTGTTTCCAGCCGGTTTCGGCGCATGACATACGTCACGACCACACGTTAGCGATTGGCTATGGCAGATCCTGAGTGACGCTGGGCAGATCCAATAGTTTTGAACTTTAACAGAGAACCCGCCTACAAGGAAGTAAACGTTTCTCAATGGAGCGAGGCCAGACTCTCTGTACAAATGAAATGTACGAGAGTCTGGTAGAACCAGGCTAGTGGAGAGCCGCTTCTGGGAAGCTTCTGAAACGCGCCGCTTCGCGGCCGATGTAAACACACGCATTGACTAGAATGGCCGCGATCAGCTCCGGTATGGCGCTTACTCCGTGCCAAAATCAAACATTCGAACGACCGATCGAACGTCTATCCGAACGTCTTGTACTTTTGAGTGTCTGACCGAGCGGGTGACCCACGTGACGACCTGACGTGACGTCAACGTCTTGAAATTAGCAGTTTTTTAACCATGCAAGTATCCAAGCTAATGTGTAAAGACTAGAAATGGACATTAAAGGCAATACATATCAATATTGTACCCCTAAAACAACATTAAAACATTTCTCCTGAATCCTGTGCATGTGAGGCTATGTGTTTTACTTTCAAAGAGCAGAAATACTGTAGGCTAGCCTATATATACAGTTATTCAATAGTCTTAATTTGACCAATATAATCATTTTAACTAGTTTTTATTGTTCATTTTATTGCCCAATGTACAATGTTCTCACAGTCCATAAAAGAAAACACTCCAAATTAATAAATGTTGCCTTTCATTTAAAAAGAAGGTTTTCATAAATATATATTTGGAAATATAGACCTAGCCTATATAGAATATCCATTTACACACACACGCACACACACGCACGCACGCACGCACGCAAGTCCAATACTGTCATGGTGCTCTTCCGTCACTTTTGACCAAAAATTTTCTGTTTTGAATTTTAAAATTCACAATTATACGCAAATGAACTGGTAGGGCTATTACCACACAGCATAATTGAGTCAGAAGACTGAAATAAGAGGTTGAAATTAGATCAGATCCAGATGGATTAAGCTGTGATAAAAGAATTGCTGTTTATTATTTATTTATTGAGTTTTACTGTTATGTGTAACAAAATACTTTCTCTGTATTCAGGTTTGAC